TTGATATTAGAAGATAAATTGTGCTCTTGTTGAATTGAAAGTAATTAGAACCCTCGGTTGTATCGTGGAACTCGTATGGTATTATTCTTAGTATATTGGGTGGGAATTCGTATGTTTGGGTGTTGATTATGTTTAGAAAAGCATGATAGGTTATGTGCCGTATGTTCTTGCTTTTGAATCCATTAATTGTTTACGTATTGTTGTCAATTGCGTTTGAAAGTGTCTAAGCATGGTTTCGGGTTCCACAAAGGTTCCCGGGGCGCTTTTGCTGAAAAAAGAGTCAGTGGGGGGTAGGTGGGGGTAGGGGACCCGCCACTTACCCGCGGCCAACATGGGCAACGCCGGCAGCGGGCAGCCGGCGGGCGGGCAGTTGCCCGCCGGGCACCCGCTGCCCGGAGTTACGCCACCGGCGGGTGAACCCTCACCCACCGGCTACCCGCTGGAAAATACCCTGCTATGGGATTCCGGCTTCCCCGTTTGATGTTCCCCCGATCCCCGTGGCGTCCCAACGGACTCCGTCTATCGTGCCTTTGTCTAGTTTGATATTTCGGGTACCGTTCGTAGGTTGTACGAGTCTTATATACTGCATGCAAGATGAATCAGTATCCCGTTGACCCAGGTGAAAGAAGTATGAACCCCTTAGGATTATCCTTAGCATGTGAAGGATCACGCATAGGTTTTGTTATACGTTTTCTCCCCCTTCCCAATGTGTTAATGTGGGTTGCATGTGCTTGCTATGTGTTATGTGTGCATGATATCCCAATCCGGTTGCGATCGGATTGGTTATTCCTGAGCTGCGGTTCAGAAGCTGGCTGCGGTCAGATTTACACTCTTGGGCTGCGGTCCACCGTTTGGTTGCGATCAAACGTTTCTACATGAGCTGCGGTTCATATTTCCTGGCTGCGGTCAGATGACATACTCTTGGGCTGCGGTCCACTGTTTGGTTGCGATCAAACTATGATGAGCTGCGGTTCATCGGTCGGTTGCGATCGACCCCTCCGTGTTGCGATACGGGGCAGGGTGCTGCGGGGCCGTGTCAGAGCTATATGCGCTGACCCTCATGTATGGGCATGCGATTGGTCCTGTGGCGCCAACAAAGTGTGCTTATGTGATGAGATATGGATAAGGTGTTGTTATGTGTGTTTTGAGAACGTGACTATAGGATTTATGCTAGCAACTGTATATGCTTGGTTATGTGCTTGTCTCTATCTATCGTGCCTGTTCTCTATGCTGGAAAACTGTATATGCTTGGTATAACTGTTGACTGTGCGTATCCCTATCTGTCGAGTCTATTCCCTGTTTTGAAAGCTAGAGTCTCTTAGGATACATCTTCATGCTTCGAAATGGTTTTTCGTATATCTATGTATATAACTATATGTATTGTATTTCAACGCGTTGGAGTGGGTTACCAGCATCTCTCGCTGAACAGATATATTTGGCTTTCAGGCACAGACGAGTAGATCGCTGGAGCGCGCTAGAAGCTTGGGGCGTAGATTAGATAGTTTTCCCTTTCGGCCTGCGTGCCATGATTTTGTATTGATACTGATTGAGGTTTTAGAATTTAGCCTGTGCACCTGAGTTCTCTAGCTCGGGTGTGGCATAACACTCCGTATTTTTATAGGCATTTTGGGATTTATGATCATTTACCTTTGTTACATAGTCTTTAAAAGTTTTTTGAAATTTCGGGGTGTTACAATACACACTACTTTGTTGTGTGCATAAATGTCAAGGAATCCAAGGTTCAGGTGATAGACAACAAGGAATTGCCTGCTGGTGTTTCAGAGCTTGATAAATATGGGGACTGTCCATATACACTGGTAGCTTATATTATATTTAAAAACTCCTTATTGTCACCTATATATTGAATTTAAAACATTATGAACATTGAGCTAATTTTTTACCAGATTGAAGCATTCAAGGCGTACCTGGCAGCAGGACAATCCACCTTGACTCCCAAACTGAACAGCATGCCAGTAGAGTTCCTTGCCATGGACTGGAAAAATGCTGAAAATGTCACCGACTGTGGCATATATGTAATGCGGCATATGGAGACTTACATGGGTGGAGCTCTCGAAAACTGGGATCCTGGGTTCAGGAAACATATGCGCACAAATGTAAAAGTAACATAAATATATTACATTCAAACTACATTAAAAAAAGATAACAAAATTACAATAAACTAATTATTTATTTTTCTTAATTTACAGGCAAGCTTCATTTGTGAGTTGGGCAAAGTATGCTGCTTGTATCATCACATCAAAACTGAACACCGTCGTAAGCCAGGTCATAAAAGCTGCAAAGATTGAAGACAAGAAGAAGTAAAAGTGCAAAGATCATTGAACGTTTTTTGTTATGATCAAACATTGTTTTGTAACAACTTTATTGCAATTGTTGCAATTTCTGATCTATGAAGTTCACGGATTGTTTTGTAACAACATTATTGCAATTTTTGCAAATTCTGATCAATGAAATTCACGGAATATATAGTTCTCATATTATGGATATATAGCTTTAAGATTGTGTATATATGGATATAAAATTATGAACATTTTACATAAGTGTAAACATAAAGTTCAAATATTTATGAATTTATATTTCAAAGATTATGGACATATAGGTTTAAGATTGTGGATATATTGATATAAAGTTATGAATATTTGTACAACAGTGAACATAACATTTTACACAAGTGTAAACATCAAGTTCAACTATTTATGATCAACTGCAAATGCAATATATAACCTCAAGTATAACAAATAATACACATTCCATTGAAAATATAATTCCTAAGTAGAGGGTGCGGGGAATGCCGAATAAATCCAGCCATGCTCTACAAAAGGAATAACATTTTCCATGGAAAAAGAATGAAAATATAACAATGCTGAACAGTGTGAATTATGAGCATATAAAACTACATATAAACCTGGAATTGAAGAAGAACCATCAATGTCTAACTCTATTGGATATGAACTTGATGAATCAACAACAACATCTTCACTGACTGCATAATGTTACAAGCCAGAACAGAGTATCAGTTTAGAAATTTTGGATATATAGTATTAGAATTCTGGATATATAGCTCACAATTTCTGGACATAAAGTTCAATAATTATGGATATACAATCCAGAACAGAGTATCCGTTCACAAAATCCTGGATATATACTATTATAATTCTGGATATATAGCTCACAACTTCTGGTTATATAGTTCAAAAATTATGGATATATATTTCGTTCATTCAGAAAACCATAAACACATAAACACCCAAAAATTACGAATGATCTCAAACTAGAATGACCAGCATCACATACGTTGTGTACAATCACACTAAATATAAACACCTAAACAATATATCACACTGCAACAATCAAAATAATCGCAAACGATCACAAATCCATAAAAAACCAAATGCAAAATAACCTGGAACCGTATGCAATTCATCAACTGCTTGATCTCTCTGATCTACTGCCTCCTCCATCATATGATCCATACACAAAATCAGAAAAACGACTGCAATTGCTATTGCGATTGCGATTTCACGTATACTAAACTCAAAACGCCAAACTACCAAAACTTTGAAAGCGTGCAAAAACCGCAAATACGATATGAATAACGCCGTTAACGGCCATCTAATTATTTTTTATGCGAGCCGTGTCGTTTTTTAATAAAACGGCGCCGTTTTGCAACCGTATGCACCTTGCAAGGTGCATTCGGTTGCACGGCATAATTTGCGTTCAGACACGCCCAGGTGTAAAAATGAGGCGAATTGTTTAGCCCAAGTAGTATTTCAGAGCCTAAATTATGTTTTAAAGCCCACTCAACCCCAATAAAAAATATACCCAACCCTAATTTGATTAAAAATAGGAGAAGAAGTCTAAAAATAATAAATGAAACCACAAACCAGCGACCCTCCTCGTGCGACTTGCGACTGCCGACTGGGTGAGTTGTGGCACAACCTCCCCTCCAGCGACCTAAAGTGCCTCGTTTTCTGCCTTCTTTTGTTTATTTCATTTTTTGGTATGTTGTTAGCCTGCTGTTACAGAGTATATATATATATATATATTGTGCTTTGTGTTATACTGTTATTGTGTGTATATATCTTATATATAGTAGGCAGTATGCAGTGAGTGCCACTTGGCAGTAGGTAGGGAGTGCCACTATTATTGTGTGTATATATTTTATATATGGTGTGCCACTGTTATTGTGTGTATATATATTAACTTGGCAGTAGGCATTAGAATTTTTTTTTAATATTAATTTGTTTGAATATTATTAATTATTTGTAGATTGATTGTTTATAAAAAATGATTAATCATTCAAACAAAAGTAGTGCGGGCAGTGGTTCAGGAAATCTTGGAGTGACTACGGATCAAAAAATAAATATGTCATATGTAATTATTGTAAGAAAGTCATAAAAGGGGTGGGTTAATGCAAGCATATATCGGGCAACGGGTTTAATGCTTATTATCTTATATTATTATTCTGCAAATTGCAATAATTTGGCTGATTGTTGTGGAGAGGACGATGGGAGAACAGAAGCCATGGTTTTGCATATAAAAAATGAGACGAGGGATAAAACTGTGGCTGCAGCAGTAGTACTGTTATGGTATTGGACTGGTGGTAGGATCTTGATGAAACCTTAATCAAATGGAACTGTGGTTTATTTTCATTAGAATGTGAATTGAATTTTATTTGAATGCATTTCCATATGTTGAATGTTAAATTGTAGTTTGTAAATGTGTTGAAATCTGTCAACTATTATCATGAAACTAATTGATTGGTTGAATTGAATCAATAGTTGTTATGCATTAGGTTTCTTTGAAGTACAGTTTAAAACTCAATTATTTTGAGACATATAAAAATAGAATTGAGCTCGTAAGTTGGGGATGCAAAATCTTTGATACGTCTTTTCTCTCACTGTTTCAACTCATTTCTTGTTGAAATTCAGTACTTGAACACTTCTTCACCTTCCAACTGCAGAGTTATTGCTGGGCAGAGTTAGTTGATAGTAGACTGAGAAGATATTGCTTAATAGGATATATAGTAGGGTTTTACCTTCACCATGGAGCTGGGGTTGGTTACCATGTCGAGAGCAGCATGGGTTGCAGCGATTATACCCATTCTCATTGCCTTGATTCCTTCCTCTAAGCTTCGTTGCTTTCACGAATTCCTGCTGGGTTTCGCTAAGAGAGGCAAGATCATGCAATCTTCTAACAATGTAAGTGATTAACATTTTAATTTACAATAAAATTTGAATTAAATTAAAAAAAAAATGTTTAGTCAGATTGTTGTGAACCTTTGGTATTGATAATTGAATGGTGACCTTGTGCCCATCTTTAGCTTTTTGTTACTTGCCCGCATATAATTTTTTTTTACTGAATTTTTGTTTTTATGGATGAATTAAACTTTACCTTGCTTAAAGAATTGTTTTTTCATGTACGGATAAATAGTTCCTTTTATCTCGTTTCCTAGTTCGTTTTTTTTTTTAAAAATCCATCTTGCTTGATGTGAACATTATGCTAAGTAACTTGTTAACAAACTTTTTTTTTATTGAAGTGCAGAAATTTACTGTTCCTCGGAAATTTTTCTGTCATTTTTATATTCTTGCTATTCTTTGGACCACTCTTCTGCTGGTTGCAATGTCACTTTATGCATATACGACTACAACAGTAATCTCTGAGTCATCACTTTTTTCTAGCATTGTAAGCGATTTGACGGGAGGCTCACACATTCTTTCCCTGCATACATCAAATTCATCAAAGGAAAATAGAAGCAAAGTTCTGCTATCTGTCTTTCTGCTTTTACTAATGGAAACCCAGGCATTGCGACGTCTTTTTGAGTCAATATATGAATTTAAATACAGTCCGTCTGCCAGAATGCACATTCTTGGCTACTTCGTGGGCTTATTGTAAGACTGTCTAGCTTTTATAATGGTGATTGTTATTGTAGATGAGAAGAAATGAGACGCCTTCTAAATGTTATTTTTATTTCATGATATGATGCCAGTTTCTACACAGCTGCTCCTTTATCGCTTTGCTGCAATTTTGCTCTGGAGGTTTTGGAATTCATAGCGAGTTTGGTCCAAGAGTTTATTGCTAAAGGGAAAGAGAGAATTCAAGTCGCCGAGTTTGATTGGTGGGAATTCGTAAACCCTCTGATGCAACTAAGATGGTATGCATGGGTTGGTGCAGCTATTTTCTTTTGGGGTTGGATTCATCAGCACCATTGCCATGCTATTTTGGTAATATTCAAACCTTTCTTCGTTCTCCTTTTCGGATTCAATTTGTTGGTCTGTTTTCTTCTTTTCAACATGATTTTCCGTTTGTATGATTTGTAGAGCAGAAGGGGATTTAGTGTAATGCTACCTTTTCAAGCACATCAAAATTTCCTATAAAATGTATCTTTTTTTCTTGTATGGAACTGGGAAAAATTGCGGAAGAACAGAGAACAATTCGATGATTACATAATCCCTCATGGTGATTGGTTTGAATATGTTTCGTCTCCACATTATCTGGCTGAGATAGTAAATCCTTTTCATTCATTAGCTTTCCTTTACTCTTTACTTTTCCAAAACATGCTGGCACATGCTATATGAATTTGATTAATTGAAGTACGTGATCCATCTCAACTAAAAGCCTAGTTCAGCATGCCCCTCATGTGTGCGGGCCGGTTACTTTTGACGGGCTCCAAGCAACACATGGATCATAGTCTGCGTGATGCAAAGATTCGAACCCGTGACTTTTGGCAAGGTGTGTGCTTTGATACCAACTGAAGCATGTGCTCCATCTCAACTAAAAGCTTAAGCTGATAGTTGGATTGCACATTTATGTTTATATATTATATATATGTTATTATGCTCAACAATATTTACGTCATTACTGGTTTTTCCATGTACTGAAGGTTATATATGGTGGTCTCGTGGTTGCAAGTGGATGTTTGGATTTCACAGTGTGGCTACTCCTCACTTTTGTGGTACTAGTTGGAAAAAAAAAACGCTTATCCTTTACACATTAATCATGTGTTTCAGGCATACGTATATATTAGCGAGTATATTTTGTTTTTGCAATTAAGGTGATTAATTACATTGTCTATAGGTTGTAAATCTCATCTTGGCAGCCGCAGAAACGCATAGATGGTATCTACATAAATTTGACAACTACCCCAGAAATCGCTTTGCCATTCTGCCCTTCATATATTGATGATCGTGCTCTCTGCAGTTGCAGTTCTTCCGGGTTTTAATCAGTTGCCCTGATCAAGGTTTGCGTATTCTTCTTATACTCGCATACACTTCTAACACATGTAATTAGCTGCAGGTTGATGAGCCTGTAAGTAACAGCCATACATGTTTTATTATAGCAATTATGGTATATGGATCAAAATTTTTAACATCTTACATGATTTTATTTGATTAACTCAGGGATAAATTAGTCAATTTTCATGTCACGTTAGAATGGTGAACCACTAGGAACCTGCAAAGACCCCTTATGTGTAGAGTGTACAGGTAAGCGGTCGGAACATGGGCCTCTTAAGCAAGGGTTCTGGGGGTTTAATATGGGGTTTTAGATTAATCTGGCGTAAGCAGGAATAACATAACTTTGGAAGTTGGTAGACAAGTCTCGAGCAATGTGAGGCTTGAGAGAATATTGCTTAAGGCTTGAGAGAATATTGCTTAACGATGAATATTACATGTACTTTTATTTTTCTCTCTTTATTGATATAGTATATTATAATTGATCTAGTAAAAATGTGAGTCATTTTTTGTTTCTTTCTTTTTTCCTTCCTTTCAATACAATCAGGCCATGCAGTGAAAGTTTTTACTCTATAGGTATATACATGTTATATTTTATATTGTCCTAAAATTCTAATAATCAAATTTTGTTTTCAAACATAATGAAGTCTCAACTTTCTTTTTAGTTTCAAATTAAGGGTTTGAACTGTTAATTGTTGAAACAAATAGTTAGTAATAATGATTGTACATACTAACAAGTTCAAAACATAGTGGCCCTGTTTGGTAACATAGTTAGTTTATCGGTTAATTTTGGTTTGTTTGACTTGGTTAAATAACCAATGAGTGTTTGTTTAATCAGTTTTTTGTAACAACTTATTGCTCCAAAATGTTAAAATTTAAAAAAGTTGTTTAAAACATTTTTTTTTAATTACATCTAATGGATTAAATTGGCTCGGACCCGTATCAAATAACCCAATTAATTAAAGGAACGAATGAATACGGTAAATGAGAAGTGATAAAGACAAGAAATGTATGTCACAAAGATTGAGATTGTATTAATGTTTGTGTATTACAGGAGAATAAGTGATGTCTTAACAAGTAATTACATGGGTATTTATACTAATTGCTTTCTAATCGTTCCCCAAAAAGAGGTAGTTAGTCCTAACAATTAGGACCACTCTCAAGTGTTGACCGGGTGACCCGTGTGCTCCAAAAGTTAGCATCAAATGTTCTGGAGTTTGGTGAAGCTATGTTTGAAATTGGAAAGCAGGGCGCACCTATTGAAGTGATGAAGAAAGCATTCTCAGGGATATCAAACACGCTAGGTGCTACAAGTGCAATTGAATCGACTTCCGTTCCAACTGCCTCTCAGTTGGATGACATATTCTTTGGGAGTGAAACCTTCACAGCTGCAGTGGATTCGTTGGTGGAAGCGTTTCAGAAGACAACAAGAACCATGGAAATTGAAGCTCCATCATTTGATTTGGGAATAAACTGCAATGAATCCCAACCGCAGCCACATGAGCAAGAAACAGAGCAAGTAGTTGAAGAGGAACAACCATTGGATGCTTTGGTTCAACAAATTGGAGAAGATGCAGGACTGTCAACGCCCTTGGGAGCAGAAGTAACTCCTCCACTTGTTAGAGTCCCATTTCAAAGATATGTTCATCATGCCCCTGCTGCTGATGCTGATGTTGATGACTTTGATCGGTAAATTGACAGTTTGTTATTTACATTTAGCTTTAACGTTATGAATTTATAGTTCTAAGATTATGAATATAAAATTATGAACATTTTTACAACTGTGAACATATAGCTTTGAAATTGTGGATATATAGATATAAAATTATGAACATTTTATATCTGTGAATGTATAGTTCTATTATTATGGACATATAGGTTTAATATTATGGATATAAAGTTCTAACACTGTGGATATATAAACAACAGTGCCATGCAAGAAAGTGAGTCTGATGTTGAGGACGTGACTGTTAGGAAGAGACCCCAGCGATGATTCAGGAACAAACCTCTTTGTCTGAGGTCACCATACTGGACACAGAATGCAGGTTTTATACGCACTGCAACTCCCCGGGAAAAAATCATCTCAAAACTATGCATTCTTGAGTGTGTCTAACGAACACCCAGAAGAGTATGTTTGAACACGTATATTTATAACAAACTTTTAATTACTTAGATAGTTCATATTATTATTATTGTTGTTGTTGTTATTATTATTATTATTATTATTATTATTTTGGTGTTGTAGTGAGTTGTTGTTCAGCTATGGTGACTACTACCTAACAAGGCGTCACTTCTCAACTTTGAGCAACGGCGAGCTGGATATAGACTTCTTGAATGTTTGGTCTTTGCGGCTAACTTTGAAGAACACAGAACGTGCTGTTGGGAAACCAAAACGAGTATTTTTCACCACACTGCCACATGTAAGAGTTATTTTTGACATGCAGATGCATATCTTTAAAAATCTGGCTGTGTGGCATTATAATTCTAGATGTATAGCTTATAATTTTTGGATATATAGTACTCTAAGCCTTTTGAATACTCATTTTTGCATTCTGTGTATTCAAAAACAGCTGCAGCTTGATCCATCTGATGATTGGATGAAAAGTCTCCTGGCCGAGAAAAAGATGGAAAATTTCAATGATAGATTGAATTATGAAATATCAAGTTTTGGAAACCTGGAAATCAATGATGCAGACCTTGTAAGATCTATTACACACACCCAATTTAAGAATTTAAGAATTTATTATGGATATATATACATGAAGCTTGGAATATACAAAGTTTATTAAGATCCTTTATTTACTTCTGAATTTGTGGATATATAGTTTTAAAATTGTGGATATATAGTTATGTGATTATGGATATGTAGTACTATGTGAATATATGAATGTATTACTCTGTGAACAGACTGTTAAGAATTCTGGATATATAGTAATGTATTTTTGGATGTATAGTTATAAATTTATGGATATATATGCATGAAACTTGGAATATATCCAATTTATCAAGATCCTTTATATAGTTCTGAATTTGTGGATATATAGTTTTAAAATTGTGGATATATAGTTATATGATTATGGATATATAGTACTCTGTGAATATATGAATGTATACCCATGCAGTTAATAATACATGGGTATGTAGCTGTTCAAATTTGATCTTTAACATAATCTTTTGTAATTTCAGTTTATCATGTCCATAAATATTAACATCGCTATACCTTTTGTTTTGGAATTAAATATTTTTCCCAGTGCATCGCCATACATGTAACACCCCGTTTTACGACCCCTAAGACCAATCAATCATTTGACCAATTGCCCAAAAGAAAGAATTAAATTACAATAATTAATTAGGAAAAGGCCCACCATAGTCCGTGGGCCCTCTTCTCTAAACCCAACCCCTAGTCCTAAAAGGAATAGAGTTAACCAATTTCAAATATTTATGAATTTATATTTCAAAGATTATGAGCATATAGGTTTAAGATTGTGGATATATTGATATAAAGTTATGAATATTTGTACAACTGTGAACATAACATTTTACACAAGTGTAAACATCAAGTTCAACTATTTATGAATTTATATTTCTAATATTATGGACATATAGCTTTAATATTGTGGATATATTGATATAACATTATATGAACACTTTACTAATTTGACATACAAGTCCAATAATTTGTGGTCATATAGTTCTCAGAATATGGATGTATAGCTCTAATATTATGGATATATAGTTTTAGTATTATGGATATATAGCTTTAATATTATGGATATATAGCTTTAAACCTGCAAAGCAACAAGTACTAAAATTTTGAATACACAGATCAAAAACTTGTAAATTGATATCCTCAAAACAGCTAACAACTTGTATTAACCCCAATCTCAATCTACAACTGCATTATCATCTAAATCATTACTAAATTGACAAAACTCCGAACTCCCAGAACTTGGATGTACAAGGTACCCATCCCCTGCAATCTCATATAGACTTTCCAAAACCAACGACTGAACAGCACCCTTTGTACTCGAAGCAACTTTATTTGCAGCACTCCTCTTCCCCCTTGCAACACTGTACTTCTTTTCAATAACACTACTCCTCCTTACATTACGCTCACCTTTTGATCTCCGGTTTGAAGGATTTTGAATGACACCACTTGAAGATGAAACACCACACTCTTCAATATGCACATAGCCAATCTCAGCTTCAACCTTTTTCTTGGCATCCTCAACTGCTTCATCGCAGAACTGCCTAGTTACACTTTTATCTTGACTAGATGTAGTCAATCTTTGAAATTTTCTACAAATCTCCACAACCCAAATTGAAGGAGGGACACCAACTCTATAAAACATTGGACCAATATTCACATCCCTACCATCATCAACCTTTTTAGTCCACCTTTTCATGATATATTTATTAGAGATACTAGAAACACAATGTATATGAAGAATACGTAAACAATGACAGCATAAAATTCCCAACTCAGAAATCAACTTGCAACTACACGAAATGTCCAAGGTTGCCAACTTAAAACTAACTTCATGCCTTATAATATCTATATCTGGACGCCATACATGATACTTGAACTGACAGCCATCATTCAACACCATTTCTTGATGACAAGCATTGCCTTTCATAAATTGTTCATCAAACAAAAAATATATCTCAATCGTATATACCTCTCTAGCGTGTAAAAGAAGTTTCACGTGCTCCATCATCATAGTGGGTACCCCTTGAGCACAACGAAAATCTTCACCATTCTCTT